CCAGAATGATCTCTTAATTTTACCTAATAATTTTATACTTTATAATCACTTTATGTGATTTTTTCATCGAATAATTTTTGAATAGCCAAAGTAAGCTCATTTCTGTAAATTTTATGAAAATGCGGATGAGATAAGCTTTAAATAACATTTTTACTTTTCATTTTTTAATCATTTTCACCCCTTCTATTATAGTTCAAAGTTGACTGCATGAAAATTCAAAACATTATCCTTTGAGAAATCTACTTTAATTACGGATGCCGATCAACCTTATTTAAAAATGAAATTTTCTAATTACTTGGACTTACGATTTTCCTTTTCTTAATTGTATCTAAACTAAAAAAAAATTTATTTTTCATAACTAAATTTCAGTTAATGTATGATAAAATTTATCTAGTTCAAAAGATACATAATACTTCACATTGATGAATCTAATTTTTCTCAGCAAATTTATATTTTATTGAAACTTAAGACATTTTTTTTTTTTTTTCTATGAAAGTTATATTTTGATCCTCCATCTTCTTGTACAATATTGTAGGTCACCAGAATCTGAAATGCTGTAATTAAAATAGAGTACATAAATATTGAGCCATTGCAAACAGACAAGAGTTGAATTGTTGATTGAGACGACAGAAGAATATATAAAAGTTGGTATAAGTAATTCGAAACGGGAAATATAAGATGAAATGAAACGTGTAAATGTATTTGCGTATAAGATAATACGTTAAGTGATACTGAGGATGGGTAATGGAAGATCAAGATGTGATAATTTAGTATGCAAGACAGAATTTATTCGAATTTTATCGGTAACTCGGTTGTCACGCGGCACGCAGATCACCCAGGGTTATAAGAGTTAGTGCGGATAAATAGGATGAAGAGGATGGCGGATCACGAGGATCATGAGGAGACGGAAAATAGAAGGATGGAAAAGATAGAAAAGCAAGTGGTATCGTACCACCACAAGGGTGTCACTTGGCTTCTTCATCTGATCGGTAAGACGATGTCTATAAGATGTCCCTATGCTGAATGCTATATGCCGTTTTCCGTTTCCCCGTGGGGACACTTTTGCCCGACCAATATTCCCGCACACGGGCGGTTCCAATATCTTTCAGTCTCCTGAATGCTTCTGGAGTTTCCGACCAGCCATGAATAAACTATTTCCAACTTTGAATATCTGAGTGGACGGTTTTTTCACGCGCTTCACTTGCGGACGAGAATCGTTGGGGACATATTACGATATACGCAATGGACTCTTGGGAACATTGAAAGACACCAAGAGTTGAAGACCTTAACTTAAAGATCACTTGGTGGACTCTTGAATCTTAGATATTATCATAGTTTCTTTTATACGTTATAAAATTACTCGAAGTTCGATTTTTGTGAAAATGGAAAATAAATTCTACCCAAAAATATGGATTCAAATTACTAATTCGAGATTGTAATTTCAAAGTGGTTTTGTAGCTATAAATTTCTACTCTTTTCAGAAAAAATCATCATTTTAGTTTGGAAATTCTTATTATGACAATACAAAAATAAAATATAACTAAGATTGAATGAAATAAAGTTTGTGTTGCATTGATCAAAATTACATTTAAAATAATTTTGATTTAAATTTTATCATTTAAATACCCAGTAATAAATTTTTCTTATTAGAGCGACTGACTAATAAATAAACGTGTTTGGTCAATACTAATTGAAAATTAACTTTTGAAGTTTTAAACAATAATTTTAATTTTTCTGTTTAGCGTATGATGGTACACCAAAACTTATTTTTCATCGAAACATTTATTTTAATATGAAAATAATTAATTTTACTCACAAAAATATGTTACATGCTTATTAAACTGTTAAGAAAGTTACTATGTGACGGGTTGAAATAATCAATTTTTTTTTTTGCATAAAGTTTTTTGCATTTCTAAACATGTATTTATGCTTGTAAAGTAATTTTCCAATGTTCGAAATAATCGGAGCAGTTAATAGGCCACACTGATAGAAGGATTTCTTAACATTTAAGAAGATTTTTTTGTATTTAAGAAATCTTCTTAAATGTTAAGAAATCCTTTTATCAGTGCAGCGACTTGGAGAAATTAGCTGAGTACTTGAAATTTGGACGCTTTTTTCTCAAATTTTTACAAAAAACAAAAATGTCAAAATCACTAAGAATAAGTTAAAGCAAGGATCGAAATATAAATAATAATGATAGTATACATATTTTAATATTCATATCAAGTACTGTAAATATATATTGTGTAATGTATACTATGTAGCGTTACAAATAAACGATTATCTTTCTTAATTGACTTACAGCCCGATGAAACTCGTGAGTAATCCCAGAAGTAAGTCGAGTAGTTTCTACTGATTACAATCCACCCTCAGTGAGATTCGTAATCCAACTGACTGGAGAATGTGCTCAACCTTTTTTATTTTCATTTTTTTTGTTAATCCAGGTCCCTCATTTTCTCTTTTCTCGACCTCTTCTTTTTCTTCTGCAAAGTGGGAAACAGGAGCTTTCAAGAGAGTAAGGAAAAGGCAGATACAAAATGAGCTTTCGTGACAGTGCTCTCGTAGTCTGGAATAGTTGTGACCAGCCGACCGCAAATTTCTTGATTAAACGTAAGAAAAAAGTTATACGAGACATTTGAGCTTTTGGTGCTTTAGCCACAGGATATACGACATTTTTTACCTCTCAACCTTTTTACTTTATTTCATTAATTTATTTATTTATTTATTTATTGTTTTATTAAATCTCTCACATAAATTCTAGGTGAATAAAATTTTTCTACGAGAATTTCGCAAGTCATTCAGATGTCGGCAAAATGAGTAGCCAATTTTCGAAACGTTTGTTATAAAGAAAATTGTAATAGAAGAGGAATTAGAACATGTCATCCCAGGTATTGCAAGTGAATAACGAAGCAAGTGGTGATATGATGACATGGACTTTAAAACGAGAACAGTATCGCTTTGCCTACGAAGGGTGACATCTAGAGCTGGTTCTGCTACAGTTACTATTGTATAAGCTTCTATTACTATTACTATTACTCTTTTAGTATCGCTTATGGGTTGGTGAGAGGGTTGCAGAATGCTGAAGTCAGAAAGGGATTGGGTTCGCGGTAATCGTAGATGACGGGAGCATGAAACAATGCACCTGGCATTCGCTCTGAATATTTGGGGCGTGCGGAGCAGAGGGTACTGCGGGCTTAATTCTAAGGGAGTCACATCGATGTCAAGGCTCGATGTGATCTATGGCAAGACTCGGGAATTGCCACGTGTCAGACCATTATCTTTTTTTTTTTTTTTATTTTCTCAACCCTCTGGAAAATTTTATTACCCATCGATTCACAAAATTATTACACTTAATTTCGTAAATTCCTCTTTAGAGAATAAGTACATACATAATAAAAATGATAATAACATTATTTAAAATCAATTTTACTTTCATAATCAATTATTTATTTACAATTTACTATAGTGGTTTGTATTTATTAAACATGGTTATTTTTAAATTATATTTTCATTTAATTGTAATGTTTTAATCAAACATTTATTTTAAATAATCAGTCATGTAAAATTAATTTGAAATATACCCCGCTTAGCGTAATATTTATTATCACAAAATTAAAAATATATTTATTACATATATGTGTATATTATATAAATCTATTTTATCAACAGTTGATACTGATGACAAGCCAGTAAACTGTAAAAATTTACTAGTTTTCTACTGGCATAACACTTTGAGATAAACCAAAAACTGTGTTATCAACAGTTAAACGATTCGAAATATAATTTTTTTTATTGATGAATTTTTTTTCTAACGAAAAAAAATCTTAAAAATTCAATGTTAATATTTTTGCAAAGACAATTATTTATAAAAATTTTAATACTTCCGGGATAATTTAGTGTTTAATTTAGAAAAAAATTCAATTAGAACCTTTATTATAACTACAGCGTCAACAGCATAATGACAAATCCTTTACTTCATATCAATATATCTTTCACATCCTGGTTCTCTCCCATTTATGAAAGTATCAAAAATATCCTTTCTAGCACTCATCCCCCAACAGACAACAAAAAACAATACATTATATCAATTTTAAAATTATTAAAATCAATAATTATGATAAATTATATAAGATACATCTCATCTGTTTTAAAAGAGATTTATATCTTCAACTAAACATCTTTTTTCAACTCCAAAAGTATGATTAAAATAATAATAATAATGACAATATTAATGATAATTATAGTTATAAATATAATTATAATAATTATTACTGTAATATGTTCACTGATTTAAACTGGTAATGGTTTCCTGCTTAAACACTATTTTTCCGACTTTAAGTTGTAAAACTAAGTTAATTAAATTTATAAATATGATACAATCGGTAGTAAGCAATAGAGCGTTAATTTAATAATAATAACAATAATAATAATATTAATTACAATAATTAATAATTATAGGTACATATACATATAAGATAATTCAACAGAGTAATGTTGAAAGGTATGGCGTTGTCCCATTATTATTATTATTAAAAATCATAAAATCTTAATTTAATTATATCTGCCCATTGTTTATTTATTTTATTTACTTATTTTACCATGAATATTTTATTCAAGTCGAGTCTTGTATTTATTTATATTTTTAGTTTTTTTTATTATTATTGTTACTATTATTATTATTAGTATTTAAATATTTATAATCAAACGAACGCCACGTTTACGAATAGAAATCACCATCGCAGACTAGCGGCCACCCTTGACTAGTTAAATATGTATTTTTTTAACCCCTCATCTCACTTGTCCTATCACTCCTTTTACAATTCATCAATTGGTCTTCAAGCTCAATATTTAATTTTCATTGCTGTTTTTTGTTTGTTTACCAATTACTTAATTCACTTATCTTTTTGAGTTTATTTCGTTTTACTTTATTTTTAAATATATATATATATATATATAATTTTAATTATGTTTAAATTACTTTTAATTTCGTCGACTGCAAATCAATCACCAGGATGTTCAGGACAGCTGCGATTTACTTGAAACCATTTATCAATGCAGCTGTAATAAAAATTTTAATTTAATATCTTAATATAATTCTCTTAATTAAATATTTGATTATAAATTAAATAAATCTTACTTTTTGTGATATATACATAAACAAGGTAAGCGGGCTATCACATCACCTGGTTGTAAATCCTCCAGGCAAATAACACATTCTCCTTTCTCATCGGCTAGTACATCCTCTGTAACAATTATATTTTCAATTAATTCAAATATCAAAATATTAATTATTTATTGTATTTATTACTAATATTTTATACTATAATTTATTTTAGATAAACGGTAAAATGAAATGTTCAAGAACTTAAGATAAATTTAATATTGGGATATTATTATTATTTAACATATAAAATTATGGTAAGAAATCAAGAGGTCAAGCTATTCTACTCAGTAATTATCAACGTTTTATACGTATACATATAAAATATGATAATGTACAATAAAGCTAAAATACATTTATTTATATTAATGAAAATATATATTTTGCTATTAACTCGTAAATAATTTTTACGTAAATATTTTAAACACACAGAAATTCAATAAATAAAGACAAACAAAATTTTGAAACTGACAAAGTAAAAAGTGTTTTCAACTTAATTATTAAAAATCAATAATACGATCTCACGATAAAAGACTATGCACATAGTGATAATAAAAAATAATGATAGTAATATAAAAACAAATGATCAAAAAATATGTTACCGTTGTAGCTAAGACGTGGTTTTGTCAGGCACATCACCAAATGACATTCAATGTCATCTGGTAGAATAAATTTGGAGCAAACAGGGCATTTGAGACCTATTAACAAAAAAATACACAGTAATAAATAATAAAATATTCAGTATAAATAAATATGATTAACTTAATTTAAAATAACAGCCATAAGTACTACAAAAATATACAAATTAAAAAAAAAAAAAAAAAAAAAAAAAAAAATACACGTATATATGTATATTAATACGCAGTAATCTAACCATAGATAACACGTCGCGCATGATGTGTAGGTACAACTTCAGTCTCAGATTCATTTAAACACGAGCTTACAATAACACCCATATCGTGATCACTACCAAGCCCTCGTGACCTAGCCTAACCTAATCACCACCATCCTAGTTTTGAAGAATCTTAACCATTAAAAAAAATTCAAACATGATACAACAAAATTAAAGACATTATCAACCAAAAATAACAAAACTACCATCAAGTGCAGTACGTACGACAGTAGCCTTGATATTTAGATCGACAAACTATGTACACTCCAGCTTATATACACTATCAATAAAATCACCTAAACGTGTGCCGGGCCGTTGCCGGCATCGATTGTACGGTTACCAGGCCAACCACCTCAGCAACACGCGCCAAAACAAATGCCGTTAAACACCCACGTATTTCCTTTTCTTTGTTTCTTTGTGCTATACTATAGGTGTATATATGTACATGCTAGCATACACATCAAACATAAAAACAAAAATACAAAATTCTATATATCTATAGGTATCTCTATGTCTATATCGCCTGTAAGTATAATAATAATACAAAGAAAATAAAAATTAATTAAACTTCAGTCGGGTTGATTTACTTAATATCCACTGTAATGATTCTTTCCTCACTTTTATAAGAGTCGTATACACTTATACACATAAATAAATAAATATCTCTGTATGTTGTCATTTATTGGTCAATTGTCATTGGTAGTTATTCGTTGTCATTGTCGTTGTAGTCGTCATTGACATTATCAACAGTGTGATGAATAACACTGCAAAAAAATTTTGTTATTACGTCGTATAATTGTTGCGTACATAACCTCATCGCATATCTACATATATGAAAATTTAATATATATGACTGTATACAAATTAATAGTTGATGTTAGATCTTAGTTTACACTACTATACATTTAATTGGATAGTATCATTTTTTCCAGAAAATGACTAGACAGTCTAGACGAGTAAATCAAAATGTTAACAATATCGAGTTAAACGTTCGAGAACTCATACCCTACTGTTCTATCTCTGTTTCTTGCATACACTATTTATTTACTTGTTTATTTATTTATATTCATTTATTGATGTAGATATCTACGTAGAAAATAAATAAATTAGAGATAATCTTATTTGTTTGAAATGACATTAGAGAAGCATTTTATTTTTAAAAATAATAATGGAAACCTAAAAAATAAAAAATAATAAAATTGAAGTAAAAGGGATAGTTTTAAATTACCATTGAAAGACCAGATGTGTGAAGGCAAGCTGTGGGTGGCATAAACTCTACCACTGTCCTCATCACCGTCGTCAGAGTCAAGATTACCTAATCCAAGCGCTTGTCCAACATTCAAACCAACAGTGTTTGCCAGGTTAGCTGCCTGCTCCCCCGACAAATCTGGCACTGAACTCAAAGATCTAGCTCGTTGTCGATTGTCACCAGCAACTCGAGACGACTGTGTTTGATTATTCTGTTGATTATGATGCTGTAGTAAGCTAACACCGCCAGGTAGTGAACGTAATATTGAAAAACCCTGCATTGTCGTAGCTGTAGAATCATTTGTTGCTGTTGAACCGGTGGAAGACTGTCCATTCCCACCCGTAGCCTGTGCTACGGTACTTGTTTTTGCTCCCATAACAATTTATTTATTTTATGATTTTATACTACACTTTAACACGTTATTACATTTAATTTATTTAAGTCATTTATTCAATTGCAGTCACTTCATTAGTTTTTTTTATTTATATTTATAAATACTCGTTCTCCGTATTGTATTTTAATTTACTTTTTTTTTCTTTTATTTTTTTTGTGTGTAAAAAAAATTCGATTGGTTTCGTCAGTTTGTGACCCTACTGCTTCTTCAATCACTATTGGTGGTTACACACACTGACAAAAACACTTCTTCAAGAATTAAATATTAGTCTATTTAAAAAAATAAAATAATTAAAAAAAAAAAAAAAATACAAAAGTCTCGTATAAAAATTTACTAACAAAATGAATTGATTGCCAGATAATGGATAATATTAGAACACGTTGCACTCACTACTTTAGGCCAAAATTTAATATATTTTTGCCACAACAAGCAAGTCATTTCGGGATAAAATACAATATTCTCGGCCTAATGGGTTCATCACGAAACAACAATCACACCGACATCTTGCACGATATATAGTTTTCACTATATTCTACTAGAATTATCTCTAGAGTATTGATAAATTTTGTTGGTTCCTATATGGTGGCACCACTAGTCACTTTTGAATGATATTTTCGCACACTACCAACTACTTGTTTCATATGTACAATTTAAATTTATGATAATTTGCTTTTACTCATTTCAATTTATGCGAATTGCTATCATTTTGTTTTTTTTTTTTTTTTTTTCAACTTCACTTTCAAGCAAATAATTGATTAAAATTAAACGGTGAAGACTTAATGTAGATAAATATATTGAAAATGATTGACACAGGTCAATAATACATTATTTCATTACTCGTGACTCATGACTCATGACGTAAAAAATATTAATTTTAATGTAATCGCATGATATGGCAATATTTTTTATCCAGACTTATTAATGAATTATTGTTTAGTAATTTTTAAATTATGTGATAATGTAATTGATTGAGAATAAAAATTTTAAGGATTCAAGTTTTTTTACTGCAATATTTTTAAAAACTACAATTAATCATGTTGAAAAAAAATGTATTTTTTATAATACATAAATTAAAAGTATATATATGTTTAAAAATTTTTAATTCTCACTGTCAATTTATTAAAATTAATATATGTATAAAATTTGAAATATTAAGTTCTCTAGTACGTTTTATTCTGATAAGCAAAAGAAAAACTCATATCCTGTTGAATTAATTTTTTAATCATATTTTATGTATTAATAATAATTATTTACAAATACAATATCATATATACAATCATTTATTACAAAAATATTTACCGAGTTTATACAAAGGCGGTTAATCATTTACGATATTTAGTTTATATTTATTTTTCGTTTGTTCGTTGGTGGTAAATTATAGTGATTAATGATTAAAAATAATTATTAGTCATTGTGATGATGGCACATGGAATAAAATATACATTAGTACGCATTATTTTTCACATAAATTATAAAGATCAGCCTTAGAATCAGGACTCACAGAGCTCCAATTAGTTTGATAACATTGTTTTAAATTATTAATATAATAATAATTATTATTGTTATTACCACTACTATTTATTTTATTGCGTAACTGACCTTTATTAATGATGCAAAAATCATCAATAGAGTAATACTGTGTTACAAGTTCATCGATCCATTTATTTAAATCCAGTCCAATTCTCTCATCAATTTTATTATTTTTTAAATGATAATTATTATTGTTTTCATAATTTTTATTACTATTATACAGTAACCCCGCGTCTTTTATAATGTCTAACCATTTACGGTTTGTTTCACGTGGTAAGCGTTGATCAGATTTATTACTATTATTACTATTTACAAACCCGTTATGAATTTCACGAGCTTTTTTTAATGTTATCTTACGATTTTTCCAAAACTCAAGTGGCGTTACAAAAAATGTTAACTGAGCAGCTAATACTGTATCAGTAACTAATAAAACATTCCATTTACCGATAGCTAATGGTTCATCCAGCTGTGATTTAACAGAACCAATCAATGATGATTCTTCAATTTGTAAATAACTAACATCAACCAAAGTTCCACTGGGATTAATCCATAGTGCTGTTAAATTTTTCGGCGTCACTAGAGATAAATCAAATTCATACGCTAAAATAGGATTTGATACTGGGCCAATACCACCCATGAAATTTCTAAATGTTTGCTCTTTTTGATCGTAATCTGTGTTAACTGATAACCAATTAATACGCCCTGCCCAAGCTTTATTGACAGTATAATTACGTTTTAATGTAACTAACACTTCAATACGTTCTGGAAAATTATTATTACTATTAGAATAATAATTATTATTAATATTAATATTGTTACTGCTAATACCACTATGACTACGACTCATATTACTATAACTATTATTAATTGATAAATTAGCTGTCTCAGTAGCTGTAATTGGGCTTACAGCTTCGGCTAATATTAAAATAGCATTAAATTTATTATCTTTGAAATACGCAGTTGTTTCTAAAAGACGAATATTAGTATAATTAATAGAAAATTTAGCGTAAGTTAGTCTTGCAAGTGAGCTTGAAATGGTCAGCAAGGTATCATCACACGTTGGACTTAAATCTGCTTGATGATACAAATTTTGCCAGTACATATCATAACCCTTATTTGATTTACTGTCATTATATTTTTCTGGATAAAGCCATTGTTCGACTTTATCAATAATCCGTTGATCAATAACTGGCTCAAATTTACGGGCAAAATATAAATTACGGTCTTCAGTATTGCGTATACGATTAAAGTCATCATACTTAAAATCATTGGGACTACAACCACACCAATCCACAATAGCTTTGTACTGGCATTTACATCCCAATTTACGCTTCCAATTAGTAACGTGTAAATTATTATCAACGTAAGTATCACAGAATTTAGAATTTCTGAGGACAGTATGAAAGAATGATTCAGCAGGCAGTAGCGTGTATTGAAATACTTTTAATAATCCAGCAACAAGATCATCAGGCTTTGGCCTAGCAACATATTCAACAAAATCACGGCTCAGTGCTACCCAATCACTACCACCGTCAATTTGTATACCTTTAGGTAATTTCCTATCACCCAATCTCCACATTCGCGCTTCACATTCAACAAATGTCTTATCGAGACCTTGTTTTGATATAAATCGTTGAACTTCTCTACCATGTGATTTAACAAAATTATATCCTCTATTCCACGTTAGAAAATCTACTAATTGTCTATTATTTTTGATTGGAAAATCAGATTCTGATAAATTTACCAAAAAATCCCAATGAGGCGAGTGTTGTAACATTTGTTGGGCTGATGTCAACAGTGTTGTTAATAGACTAGCACCACCCCATATACTAGCATGACGTAAATTTAATCCTCTTGCTACCTTGATGTTTTTATTCCGACATACTTTTTCCACTTTCAACATTTCACGATACATATAATCTTGTCTCTGAAATCAAACAAACAAATTTCATTAAATTATCTATTAGAAAATGCTCTCTGAAAGACTAATCAAAAATATTTAGTAGCTTAACATTATTCTGTACATGAAAATCGCAGATCTAGAATGACAGTTATTTTTAGTAATTCTTGATCATAAACTCCAAGAAAATACAATGAGGTCTGACGCGATTGTGCCCGGGCTCAAATACAAATTTAAATCTTTAATCTTAATACAGTCAATTGCTTTTATTAAACTCGAGATATTTTAAGTATTTTATTTTGAATTTTTTTATAAGTGATAATAATAATAAAAAATATCTTGAACACTTACTGCATCAACATGAATATAGTAAAAATGTGATGGATCATAGAGTATTTTAATTAAACGTTTAACTTGTCGACTAGCTCGTCCATTAACTGTTAATAAAAAAGCTATTCTTGCTGGTTTTTCGATACCAGTTTTGATACTTGAATTTCTGGCTTCCTGAACTTTGAATTCTGCAATAAAACATGAAAAATCATTTAAGGGGGATAGCCACTGTGAAATTTCAGAAAAAAAAAAAAAAATTTTTTTTTTTTTTAATTAAATCCAAGTTTATAGATTTAAAAATATGTATCTAGAGTTTGGTATCAAATTCCGAATATTTTCTGAGTTATAGTCATTTTTGTGACAGCGCTTCAAATGACTTTACACGCGCGGCACTCCGACGAAAACGCGTTTTTTCTCGAAACTACCTTTTTTGAACTGATGCGAACTGTAATTTGCATAAATATGAATCGATTTGCAACTTTTTTTTCCGTATCCGTCTATTCAGTAGCTATCGTTGCACGTAGGGGATTTTGAAAATTTGGATTTTTAAGATTTTTTAGGGCTGTTTGAATCCAAAAAAAATCGAAAAAACTTTTAATACGTCCCCATTTTTTTTTTAAATCCAATTTTTCAAAATCCCTTACGTGCAACGATAACCACATGCATGCAGATTACAACGCTGATTCGTTTTTTTTGTTTTAAATAATCCGTTTTTGAGTTAGAGATCGCACCGTGGTGGGGGAAATTTTTTTGGTATTCCACAAAAATGCTAATAACTTTGTAACAACATGATATTATTTGATGAAAATTTAGGAGAATAATCTTCAATGTATACTTTATAAAACAAAAAAAAACCGATCCCCAAATTCCTTTATTATCTCAGTCAAAAAAAAATTCCAAAAATCACCTATTTCTTTCGATCCTTACAGTCGCTATCTCCCTTAAAAACTTATACAAAAATTTTTAAAATAAATAATTATTAAACAAAAAAAAATTTAATTTAAAAAAAAAATAAAAATACTTACTTTGAATACCCGTACGATAAACATTCATAGCTAAATAACCACCACAGGACTGTTTAGGATCTCCTGAACATTTCAAGTTACAACTAGAGTCCGGTAGGCGCTTCATAAACGATGGTTCATCAATACCACAAAAGCACTCCGTTCTAAATAACAAAATAATTAATTTTTATCGTTATCAAAATAAATTGTTGACAAAACTTTTTTTCAATCAGATTAAAACAAAGTAATAAAATACATACGAATATTCAGTTCCTGCATAAGGATAACCAGATTGTAAACACAAGAAGGCACAATTCTCTGGTGAATTATTTGTTTTTAAAGCGATATAGTAATCCGATAAAATCCTTAAAATTTTGTCATCTTTAAAACAGCCCAAATTTTTAGGAGTTCTGATGAAACCTAAGGAATGTGGACACGATGAAAATAATCGATCAGGATAAAGTTCACCCTGTTGACTCAAACATGACACATTGACAATTATTTCTTTACATGTTTGACTACGTGCTCGAGTGACAGCACTTATTGCTTCACGTCCTATCACATCACAACTTGGTACAAAGCTCAGTGACTCTCTATCTAATTTAATTGCTTTAACTGTACGATTTTGTATTAATGGTATTTTATTGTTATTATTATTATTATTATTATTATTATTATTATTATTACCATTAATGACATGTTTATCGGGTGGCAATTTTAATTGTTTATATTGTTGTGGTAACCCATCACTCCTGTCAATTTTCGCAGAGTTAACCTGCAATAAAAAAAAATAATATTGCTGTTGGTGTAAAAAATAATCAATATTTTTTCACTTTAAACCAATCTAATAATTTTTTTTATTTGTTTATTATTAACGATGAGAGTAAAATAAGTACAAGGTTAATTAAAAAAAGATTTATTGTTTACCTCATCAAATGAGCGAACTGACGTGTGATCTTGATTTTGTAACTTAAAAAAGGAATATGCAAGATATATTTGTACACACATTATCATACCGACAATAATAAAAAATATTCGATATTTTCTCAGACAATTTGACGATCGGCCTTCCAGCAGCCCTCTCGCTGCCATTTTGGGTGAACGTACCATACTTCATTAGGGCTTCATGTTCAACAATACGGCTGTGATAATACTTGATCATCATCTCTCGCGAGCACTTACAAGTATAGTAAAGAGAGATGAGAATTTTTGATGCTTTTATAGTTACTGCTGCCACTGCTGCTGCTCACAACTATCGCTCATGCTTTTAAACACGGCTATTGTACATGTGTACATACAAATACAAATTTCATGCTCCGATTGGAGATTTAGGATTTAGGGTAAAGGTGATTTTTCATAAACTCAAAATAGACGCGATTTTCAAACTATTTCATATCATATCATTTTGCTAAATGTCAACGCCGTAGAATTCCTCCAGTTTTTTTATCTAGGGACCCGTAAATTTATTTATTTATTTATTTATTAGAATAAACGCAAATCGGCAATGTACATAAATTATTTAATACTTAGGATTATTATTAATAATTTGACGGCTATTAAATATGTAATAATAAAATTATTGAGATTATTAATGACATTAAAGTTAGCAGTCACTTAATTATTTCTTAGTTTTTTTTTAACAAATAAATTTATTCCAAAAAATAATTTTTGAAAAATTGCATTTTTTATTCTTTAAAATTTCTACATGTCAATTTTTTTTTTTTGCCATAATTTAATTGTTAAAAAAATTCTTAAAATTATCAAATATCTGCTAAATTAATTTTCATAGATTATTATAATTATTATAATAAGTGCTAGCTGGCAAATTGATAGGCTAAATAAGTTTTCACTATTTTTTAAATCAACTAATAAAATTTTATCAATATATTTTATAAAATTTTCCGATCAAAATAAATAATTAAAAATGATGAAAATGAAACTAAAATGTTATATTTTTAATTTTTAATCATGATCTCTTAAAAAAAAAAATTAATATTGTAAAAACAAACATATTTTTCTTCATTTTTTATTATCTATATTTATTTATAATTAACATTAGGCCACAATAAAACTCTAAAAAAATAGAAAAAAAAAAATGTTTTAATTTAACAAAAGGCAAAAATTTTAATTAATATAATACTAAAAATAGTATACACCAACTTTTTTAACAAACAAATAAAATAATTTATCATCAATTGCATAAGTACAACTGTTAATCATGTAATTATCATTATTATTATTATTATAACCAGTAATTAACAATTTAAAAATCTACCTAAAAAATTTCTTGATAAGTTCATAACAAAATTAAAAAAAAAAAAACTATACAGCTAATTGTAAATATTTTAACAATTTAATTACATATACATAAATTTTTTTTAGTGACATTGATAATAATATAATCTTGAAAAATATTATTTATTTTCTTTTACAGATAAAATCAAGAAATAGACGACGTTATTCTTGACAAATATTTCCAGATAATGTCATAAAACATTATTTTAGTAATCTTTGGCTTGTTTTTTCGCTCGTATATTCATAATTATAAAATAAATTGATGGAATTAAGCTCCTTATTACACAAACAAATTTATGTAAAATAGGAGCTGTGATAACTTCGTTTTGTTCTCGCAAAACTGCTAACAATATTTCGTTAGCAACGTATTTAGGTTCGTAGCCTTCTTCAGTTGATTTGTCCATTTTACCATAGCATTTACCGCCTTCTGTGACTGCGTTAAGGGATATAGACGTTTTGATGTACCCTGGGCTTGCAACAGTTACTTTGATGCAATTCTTATTTAACTCAGCTCTAGCAGAATCACACCAGGCTTGGAGAGCGTGTTTCGAAGCTCCGTAAGCTGACCTGTAAGGAATACTGATTTTTCCTTGTACACTACTTACACAGACAATGTGTCCAGATCTTTGCTTTATCATCGAGGGAATGACAGCTTTCGCTAGCGCAATTTGAGCAAAATAATTTATCATCATTACTTTCATGTCTACGTCGATCGTTGTTTTGTCGACTCTTCCTCGGTAGGAAATACCGGCATTGTTGATCAAAATGTCTAACCGACCATAAATAGCCAATATTTTGTCAACTTCTGCGTTCAAAAGGTCAAATTTTGTGACATCTAGTGATATTGTCATTGGTGGATATCTTTCAATATTGGGATGTGTTTGAATTAATGAGTTTTTTACTCTAATTAATTCTTCGTTTCTTCTGGCTACTAGAATAACTTTGCAACCACAACTGTAAAAAACATGAGCTAACTCTTCACCTAAACCTGAACTAGCACCAGTGATCAGCACCACCTTTCCATCAAGTGAATTTTTCCTCTTCTTTCTTCGAATTAATTCGATAAAGTAATAAATAATGCATGGTACTGTTAATGGAATACCATATGTAGTAAATAATCGCCAAATGTAAGAATATTCTTTCATTGTTTATTATTGTCAGGTCACTAACCTCAAAGTTTACCGAAAACAGTAGTTTAAAAAACACTTCCACTCTCACAAAAAAAAAAAAAAAAAAAAAATATAATTTCTGTCATCACTTTTGCGCTTGCGCACAATCATTAATTTTAAAAGTGAAAAGTCATAAAATAGATTATAATACTAAAGTTTTAGATGAAAATTAAGTTAGCCGACATTTAAAAATTTTTAGAATTTTTTTTTATTAAAAAAATTATTACAAAAAAATTTTTTTAAAATTGCACTTGTAAAAAACTTGGAAAACTGTAAGTGCAATTTTTAAAAAATATTTTTCAGTTATAATTTAATAAATTGAGCAAAATAAAAAAATTTAAAAATTTCAGCTAACTTTATTATTATAAGTTTTAACCGACGTTTTTAATTTTTTGAATATTTTTCATTTATTAAATTAGAACTAAAAAATATTTTCTTAAAAATTGCACTTATAGTTTTTCAAGTTTTTTACAAGTGCAATTTTGTTTTTATTTTTTTGTAATGATTTTTTCAATAAAAAAAAAAATTCTAAAAATTTTTAAATGTCAGCTAACTTAATTTTCATAAATAGATTTACATAACTAAATAAATTTTATTAAAGCAATGCTAACTTGAAAATAATGTTTTTAATTATTTACAAAATTTAAAATATCATCTACTTATTTTACACTATCTGTAAAAGGAATTCTTTTAAGGTTGAAAAAAATGTTTGTATAAAAAAAAATCATTATCTACCAAAATAATTTTTTATTGCTATAATTTAAACAAAAAATTGAATTTTAAAGACAAAAAAAAAAAACGAAGATAATGTTTCATTTAAACTTTTCTAAGAATGTGGAAAGTTATTCATATTTATTCGAATCATTGGATTTTATATTTTACTTACTTGCATCTCCAGGACACTTGTATCCAGTTGAATCTATACAGCCACTTTACCTATAAATAAATGAATAAATTGATCATGCAAATTTCAATAATTAATTTATTTCAGATTTTTTATAAAAATAATTTAAATAATTGTAAAAGGTAGGTATCTAACTTTGGCCGTATTTAAAAAAATTTTGTTTTTATAAAAGATTTATTAGAGTACATTTTTTTGTTTATTTGAAAAACAATGAATTGAAAAAAATTTTTTTATAACATTAATCAAATAATCAATATTATTATTAGTAGTATTATCAACACAATTTATAAATTGAGTTTGCTTATTATTTTTTCTATAATTCAAATATTTATGAGAGAACAAATAAAAAAAAAAATGTCAACTCTAGTGGTGAAATCTAAAACTAATCAAGTGGTTATTAGGTTTTTGTTTTGTAGGTTACTTTTTTAACTCTGAAAGTATATTTAGATTTATTTAAATTCAAAATTAATAAAAATAATTTGATTTAATTATTTATTAATTAATTATAATTTAAACAATTTGAAAAATGGCTGCCATTCGAGTACAAAATGAAGATACTCTTGAGTGTTTTCTTTATCCAAAATTTTGTTATTCAATGGAAACAGATAGTGTGACCGAAACAATACTTAATGACGAAATTAGTAAATATAATGAGTTTATCAATAAGTTTACAAATGATTATCTTTGGCATCATGATTCTCTAGTATTTTATCCAAGAACCAAACAAGCAATAGTACTTAATCAAATGCTCCATTCTTCAACTGTATCCCACGGTAAGTATCTACACTATTTTCAGTAATTAATAATTTATTATTTATTGTTACTTGTCACCAACAATAATCAATAATTAAAATGTTCCAGACTTATCCCTTGTGCCGCATATTTATGCATCGCTTAGATTTGACGAAGACGTAGGAGATGAATGGTTCACCGTATTCCTGATCTTCAAATTAACCGAATCCTTCGACGGATTGATTGCTAGAATAGTAGATTCAGATGGTGAATTTTTACTGATTGAGACTGCTGATTTTCTTCCCCGTTGGCTTGAGCCAGAAAACTGCCAAGATCGTGTTTATATTTTTGATGGACGAATCCACGTCATTCAAGACAGACGTGTACTACCGATTCAACAATTGAAACGCATATCTGAAAATTCACAAAATTATTTACTATCTCGTGAGGTACAGGATACATTGAAGAAACGACTGGCTGCTTATCCAGATGAATTAAACTTAAGGAAACATAAAGCACGAGCTTTTTTGCCAGAAAAAGCTGCTTCAATACTTGCTCAAAATCCAGGACTTATTGCTCCAGCGGTACGAACTATTGTTCATTCAGATCCCTCGGAAAGAACGGTTTGTCTTTTTTTTTTTTCTTACACATTTTAATACAGAATTTTATGCACGGAAAGAACAAGATGACACTGGATATCATCCCAGATTATACTAAGTGAAAAAAAATTTCAGATAGTAGCTAGTATAATCCATACAGTAGCTAATATCCAGATTACAATGAGTATAATCCATATATCACGCAGTATATTATAATCTGGATTATTTTGTTTGAAATTTTTTTTCACCACACAGTAAAAAATTTTACGTCATTGCGTCAAAAAACTTAGTGTTAAAAATTTTTAACATAAAAATTTTTAACACAAAAAAGTGTTAAATATTTAATAAAAATTTTTAACACAAAATTTTTTGACGCAATGACGCAAAATTTTTTACCGTGTAGATATCACTGAGTATAATCTGGAATGATATCCAGTGTCAGTTCTTGTTCTTTTCGTGTCCCAGAATATTTTAAATATTTTTCTATATTAAATTCTAACAAATGAAAATGTTTTAGGTATGTCGTGCCATGAGATATTTTCCACCAGAACAACGTACCATGGTGAATGTCCAAATGACCAAGTGTTTGTACGCAATGAGTTCACATTGTCGTTACAACGGTGACCCCAGAACCGGTTGGAATTCTCCACCAACTAACAGTCCAAAATATAACGCACATATATTAGGTATTAAAATAGCTTGTGGCTTAGAGATGCTGGTAGCCAGAGCTAATGAACAATTAAAACGTAATGAATCATCTGAAAGTATAGATGACAATCAATGGAGAGAGTATCGTCGTCGTTTAGAAGCTAGCGGGTACTTTAGAAGTACTCTTGAAGGTAGTAAAGAACGAGAAAGATTGACACAGACAGCTAAAGAGTACTTAATTGCTCATCCATTAAACACAACTCAGGTGTTAACCGATGATAGTGCTGCATTAAAGATCTTAAAAGCGTGGAAAAATGTCAAGACCGAAGATTTTGAAATGCACGCACAAGACGAAGCTTCTTTGAGTCCTCCGGACGATGACAGCTGGTTGAGTGTCGATGCAGCACAGTTAGAAGCAATGTTGGGACAACACTGGGCTCGCAGCAGCAAAAAAACACCTCAAGAACCGATTAGTATTAAGGACAAAGTCAAGGTATTTTTAAATCAAAAGAGTGACGCTGATGGTATTGAATTTTCAAGTGAGTCCCGCGGTGATGACGAGAATAAAAATGATATTGAAGATGTTGGAAGGATAGATTTTGATCCAGAAGTTTTTGACAGTACTCTGCGTGATATATTAGATCTTGTGGTGCCTGGTGGTGATGGTGAATTTGACGGTAGCTCTGAAGGTTCTCTGGGTGGTGATGAAGAAGACGAACGTGGCGGTGAAATGGACAAGTACATGAAATTAATGGATTCCCAGCTTGAAGCTGAATTAGTTAAAGACACAGCCAGTATGTCAAGCTGCTTTAAAGACTCGGTTGAATCAAATTTAATGGAGAGCATAGAAGAAGAAGCTGGTGGCGCTGGACCAGCTGGTAATATTATCGGTGGTCCTGTTCGACGTCTTATGCATTTACAACTTCAATCACCAACTGCTGTTCCTCCTGATCTTCAAAGTTAATTATATGAATTAACCTTGATAATTATTATCATTCTATTAATACTAATGAATTTACGCTAAGACAAAAAGCTTTATACTTATACTTAAAACATGGAAAAAACACTGTGCTATTATTAATAATTAATCATTTACATCACTCGTTTATTATAATAAGAAAACTTGATTTTTATTATTGTTTTTACACTTTATCATTACTGTATTCTTTTTACTCTTTTTTGTAAATAACAGTGAAAAAAGAAAAAAAAATAATCAAAAAACGAAAAAAAAAAAAACAAAAAAAAGAGGTGCGTTTGCGCTTGAATCCTTAAAGCCTGGATTTTCATCCTGATGTACACCAATAGCTGCAATAAATGCACCATTTTCTGCCTATGCAATGATTCTTTTCTTTAATTTTTATTTACCAACTGTAATCTCCTACAATCATGATTTTTAAAACCCCTCGGGCGAAAAAAAGTAAATTTTAAAAAATAACTTTTGAACGTTTGATGATTTTTTTTTTTTTTTATAATATTATATATTTACTTAAAAGCATTTTTGAACCACTTTGGAGTGTAATTCTTAATCCGATCGGAATTAGATACATTTGATCCTTCCGCACCACTACTACTGGGTACTGATTCATTTGAAATACTCGATCTTAATTGAACATTATCAGATTCGAGGTTAGCGTTTGAATCACCAGAATTATTTGGTTCATCTCGAGTCATTGCAATTCTAAAATAAAAAATCAAAACAATTATATTATATTATATTATTTATTTATTAATAAACTATACAATTACTTACCTCGATTTAATAGCATGGACACTAGCAACTTTAGGATCAACTAATTTTGTGTTCAAATCAGCTTTCAATTCTGATGATCCTGAATAATAAATAATAGCCGAAGGCACCAAATTTTCATCAATAAGTCGAGATTGTGGTGTTAAATTTTTTTTCGGTGGTGTACAATCTGAAATAATCAATTATTAATATTTTAAACTCGTAACTTTTTTTTATAACTAAAAAAATTCAAAGAATAAATCATCTTACATAAAGTAAAGTCTTCTTCAGGATTTGCTAAATAATCTTTAACAAAATCTTTAACCAATTGTACAGTTTCAAGTGGACCAAAGATGCCTTGCAAAACCATTTGATTCGGAAACTGTATTCGTAAAATAGTTCGCCGATATTTGTGAAGCTTATTGAGGGTTGCTCGATTACGTTCTAACTGACGCTGAGCATTGGTTCTTAATGGCGCTCCTTCAATGTCTTCTCGTTGACGTTTAGCGTCACGAAGTAACGTCTTGGCATCATCAACAGTCAAGTCAAAGAAATTATCCGGCAAATCCTCATGAGAAACCGCTTGTGCTCCAGCTTGATTAAACACCAAGGCATTTCTCTCTCCCAACTAAAATAAAATACAAACATTTAGTTATTGGCAATAAAAAAATATTTTAAAACACAATATAAGTTTCCTACAAAGTCTATTGGCTCATTAATAATTTTATCATGACTATCTTGATTTGTTTCCATGGCGTTATCAGCTTCTGTTTCAACTTGATCAATTATTTTGGCTGGTTTCATTTCAGGTGGTTGGTGGACTTCAGTCTCAGTTTTAGTTTCTGCTCTTCCTAAAACATGTCCGCTACCAGCCATTTTTTTATTACTACCACCAGATTTATTTTGTCCTTTGTCACTTTTCTCAGATCTCAGTAAAGCAAGGGGATCATTAATAACTTTTTTTATTTGATTAGTAACGGAAGTACCGCTTGATTTTTGACTATTCTTTCCACCACGATCTTTCTCATTTGGCTTATTGGGTTTTGAAGCCAATTTTCCTGCTACATGAGCCTGGGTGTTCAGTTTATTGAGATCACGGTGTATTAGTCGTAGCATTGCTCGACCGTTATTAAGTCCTAGTGATTGTAATGTTGTTTTTTGTAAATTATCTTGTCCGTGTAACTGTAAAAAGCAAACAATAATCATTAAGCTATAAATTAAGATAAGATATATTATGACAATGAAAATAACAGATTCCAAAAATTAATTAGATCAGAATTAGAAAATTATGTTATGACTATAAAAACTAGATGTAAAAAAAATCGGTTATTTTCAGTGTTATAAAATATCGCATTTCCAGATGCCATAAGGGCGTATACCGGCAAAAGGTCCCGGTGAAAATCAACGTAGTTTCGTCCGAAATGTGCAGAAATTAAAAAAAAAAATTTATACGTCCTTAGGGCTCCCGGGACCCACCTCGGAGTCATAAGGGCGTATAAAAAAAAAATTTTTTTTGGTCCGACATAGTTTTATATGAAACGTGTATAAATGCAAAAAACAATTTTTCTTCAAACTAAAAATTTTCTTTGGACTTAGAAAAAAAAAAAACAGAATTTTTATTAGGGCTGTGCGAATCTTGCTCCAATCGAATCGAACCGAATCTAAGGATTCGATTCGAGATTCGAGTCGAATATCGAATTATTCGAAAGATTCGAATAGTTCGAAAGGTTCGAATAATTCGAAACTTTTTCGAACCTTCGTTAAATCGAAACACCATCGTGTTAGACACTTAGTTTTAACCTTCATTTAGTGATTTCATGTCAAATCAAGCAATGATTAGGCTTAATTACTTTTTCGATTAATTTCATCCATGCGTTTTCTCTTTTCATAATTTCCTTATCGTAAATATTAATTTTCACGGTCATCAGTTTCAGGAGCAAAAAATCAACATGTAAAAATTTATCGATTTTATATGCAGAAAAAATCGGTTGATCGCAAAAATAACCAATTATTTTTAACTTTATTCTAAGAAAATTGATGTTTTTCGAAAATTCGGGAAATTATTGGTTTTACCCCGTTTTGCAAAAATCGAGGTTTCAAAACAGATCTCGACGTTTTGAAGCCCTAAGAAGTTTTACTGACTATTTTCAAGATGATGTCCGTACGTCTGTATGTATGTATGTATTAGGATAGCCCAAAAAAACCGACTATTTTTTTTTTTTAGTCTCGAGTGAAAAAATGTAGGTTTTTGATGTTTTAAGAGCCCTCACCAAAGGACAGCTCAAAAAAAAATTTTTAAGAGGTCACTCCAAACTTTTTAAAATTTCAAAAATCATCAAAAATCGAAATTTTTTTTTTTATTTCATTTTCTCGTTGCAGTATAATTTTATAGACCAAAAAAATAAGTTTCTGAAAGTTTTACTTTAAAATTTAAATTTTGAAAGGTCGCTCATAATTTTTTTTTTCTTTAATTAGTCATATCGCCGACTTTAACTGTTGGGAGTCGTACGGTAGGGTCTTTTTGGTTTGTAAAAATCTTAATCTACGCGGCAAGGTCAAATCTCAACCAAGCTGGTTTCTAAGAC